AATAATAAAAAATGTTATGCAAAACATGTAGACCAGGGAAAAATTGCACTTATAAAGATTATACAATCAGAAAATAATTTTGTTCATTCCTGAGTTGAAACCCTAGATTTAAAATTGTAAGTAATTAAAATCCTTTCAAATGTCTTGCTCAACAAGTGCTCCTATAGGCATATCAAGAGTAAACAAAGCTTAACCAAGTGCTATAGAATTTCAGAAAAGTTAAACTGATTATTAAATTGCTTTCAAATTATACCTATTGTAGCGGTATTATTAAATAGTTCTATGAATGATTGTGTAATGTGAAAGTGTCACATTTCTTAAGAAAAGACTTACCAAAGTGTTATATATGGCCACCAAAGGCTTTTATAATCTTTATTAAGAGGAAATGTTTCACCATATAACAAGACAAATTGTTATTTTAGTTTGATTTCATATTTTCTTTGCTATTCTTCCAAGAGGTCTCAATCATGCTTTTGATTGTTTAATACATACTCGGACCTGTTAAAAGAAAACATGTTATTCCATTCATTAGGAAATTATCACACGCAAATATCACATGTCGAGTCTTAAAATCATGAAAAGTAGAAGTAGCCAAATTTACAAATTTCAATTATTTTAATTGAATATCTGATAAATGTTTCCATTGGCATGAAACTGGAGTTCAAAAGGACATAACCCAAATCCTTTATAAAGCTTTACTTTGATATAGATTATGGCATAATCATCTATCTTGGCAGTCATGGCTGACATTGACAAGGTTATTATAGGAAAATATGTGTTACCCATTTGACCTCTTGTCCAAAAGGGTAAGGCACAAAACCAAAGATAACCAGATCTTAACATTTCTCCTTGCTTTTCTCCTTTTCTTGGTTGTTTGTCTAAAAATAAGAACTTAATTTATGGAAAGTATAAGCTAATCAAAGTTAAAGATGACTTATCAGATAGTCTCTGCCAGTCTTAAAATAATACACTTGACTCCGAGCAAAAAAAGTGAATAAATAAATATATATAATTGGTTGAGATAAAGAACCATTAAAAGCCAGATTCAAGGAAATTTTAAAGATTTGTGGAAAATGAATACCTTATGTTTGTAGCACTTTGTAAATGTGGCAAAAAAATTACCAGAATTTTTTTTTAATATGTATAATACAACAAGGGGTGGGTACATTTAGGGTCAATCCTTTAAATTCCTTTGCTGTTGGGTCTTTTGTATCAGGTATGTGAATATGAATAACTGAAATACATGTGGTCATTAAAAAAGATAAATATTTTCTTTCAAACTATCTTGTTATTTTGTTGCAGATTTTTCTGATAGACCTTCAAAGATTCTGAAATGAATGAAATGCAATACAATAAAATATTTAAGCCTTGAATAAAGAATATTCAAGTAGGACTTTTAACATGTTGCCTGCAATTAAAAGTTTCAAAAAGAAACAATTTCAAGAAAAAAGTTGATCTTAACCCAAACGCTCTATTCCTCAAAGACTGATTGTTGTACATACTGTAAACTCTTTAAACTCTTCTACTTATTCTGTCTTTAACATCCTTTTTCTTTTAATATAACAGATCTTATCAGGGACATTGCCAACTCACAATGTGTCCCTTTAAGAAAGAAACTACAAAAAACCAAAAAGAGCTAATGTTGAAAGAACTGAGAGTGAAATCAAACAATCTGGTCCTTTAAATTTCTTTAAACTCTTAACATCACATAACTTTATACAACAAAGCTATTATGTGTTTTTTTGAAATTTCTATACCTTTTATTTGGGAATGGATATTGTTAAAATGGTTCCATAACTTTGAGATTCACCTCATAGACAGGTGCTGTAGTTTGATTTATGGTGCAGGATTTACTTCATTTTTCTGTTACTCAGTTAATTCTGTTGATGGAAGTACAACCGTCCTGAGATCGATTTCATTATAATCATCACAAACCTCTAGATAAGGACATTTTTCAAGTCAAAATCATGATAGGTTTAAGTCTCCATTTTAGGACCTTTTGTGTTGTTTTTAATTATGATAAAATGGTTGTAATTATTTAGTAGACTTGTTTTAAAAAATAGTTCTGCTTTTGGTTGATGAAAAGTGGTTCAAGCTACTTTCAAACAGTTTTCTTAGACTTTTAAACATTGGGCAAACAATGGCACATTATCCCAGCATACTTTGCATACAAGGACTAATCTACTTTGTAAAAATAAGTGGGATTATGGGATTGATTGATGTCATGCTTTGAGAAACACTTGAGTCTATTCCATTACCTAGTTAGATTGTTGAGGAGAAGTTTGACAGAATGTCACTTTGAGTTTAGATAAATATTTTAATCCATGACCATTGGTTTTGTGATCTTGTATTTCAAAACATGAGTTATTTGAGAGTTCCTGTTCTCTACAAGTCCTGGTCATTTTCTTATAATTAGTATGTTTCCAATATGGAGTTTGTAAGACAAGGAGCATATTGCCTGTTAACCTCTTTATTTATTGTTTCACTAATGTGACGACCAAGGTCCCTCCTGTTTTTCAGTTAAATTATATATGTATAAGTAGAACATTTTTTATACTAAAACATTAAAATAGAAATAGTCCATCTTGTGTATAAACTTTTAATCTTCTTCCATTTAACTTGTTACTCAATTTTTTTATGTCACCACCAGAAGTGTTGACATATTGTTATAGTCTCCAACGTTTTTGTGGTTGGTGTTTGTTGGTCAGTGTTTGTAACAAATGGAAGGTGGTGACATTTTGTATGTTAATGCCTTGTCATTTGTTTGTTGTAGTCAGTAAATAGTATTTAGCCTGTCCTTTATTATCAAATGATAAATCAAAAATATTATACTTATATGAATAAATCAAAAAATGACATAGTATTGATCGACCAGAATTGGCTGAATTGAAAAAAAACTATGAAGTATTGTTATCTGACTGATTAACTGACATTTTGTAGAAATGGGGAAATGCAATAAATTTCAAGCAAACCACAACTATGAGTCAAGATTATTCCCTGAAGTTGATTTGCATTTTGGGATAATGTGGTTTAGTTTTTCAAAGGAATCTATCTTCCCTCAAGCGAAGATCCTTTCATCAAATCCTTCCTGGTTTTGCTTCGGAAATGACATTCTCCAATCTATGACATGAACCAAACTTTAGTTTGTTGTAATATGTTGTTGTTGTTTTTTAATATAATTCATATGTTTGATTTAACTTTTTTATCAAATGTATTATGAAAGTCATTGAGTTATCTAACTACCTAGTGAAACTAGTAATTTTATTTTTGAGCCTAAACTAATTTATGAGCTCTTTGTAAGCTGTCAGTTAATTATCTTTCAAAAAGTACCTGCTCTTGAGTCAGAAATAACATTTTATGAATGAACAGTTTCGTGCCACCTTTATCTGACTAGAATAGAAAACTTAGATTAGATTATCTTTTTATATTCATTGTATTACCAAAGTTCAAGTTTTTACCAGTTTCATTGCATATTTTCACGTAGCAAAATAACAGGTGGTCCTAGCCTCACAGATTCTTCAAAATATCATAATTTGTCTCGCTTGTAAAATATATTAGCTCCTAATTCAACCTAATTGCTGCAAAAATAACTATTTCTCAAGTTAATTGAACTTTGAGACATTAGTGTGTCCTTCTGGTTCCTTAAATGGTCCAGATAACCTTATAATTTTTTTAACAAAAAGATCGTTATAAATGACTTCTTTAGAATATTTTAATTAAAATCAGAGGAAAAACATTTATTTTAAAGAAGTTGATGAAATATGGACTGATCGTTTCCAATGATAACATTTATTTACTGAAACCTTGTGTTCAGAAATAAATGTTAACTGTTCATTTTAGGCTTTTGTTTGGATGAAGTATAGCTGCCAAAAGATCAAAAAACAAAAGCTGTTTTAAAAACTATTTTATTTTGTTTTAAAAGTCTTAACTGTTGTATTTATAGGCCTACTTAATGTCAACTGTGGCCTTATTAATAAGGGTTGCTCCTCCCATCCTTTCACTACACCAATTAAACTTAGTAGTAAATATGGTTTAAAATCCCAATGAAAAGATATTCGCAGATATTCATAGAAATTGAATACAAAAATGTTGTTCAGAAACTTGCTAAAGACGAAGTTATTTTACACAGTTGTTCCCCAAATCACATGTCACTTTTTATTTGACATTTAAATTTCGATTTAAACCGATATAAAAAAGATAGATTTACATCCTGTTTTGAATTAGCCTTTGTACCTTTTGCCTCAAAGTATCTACTTTTTTCATCTGATTTTCTGAATAATCCTTTCATTGCAAATGTACTGTACATATTTAGTTCATTTTAGCTTACATGGTCACATAAATGTTCATTTTCAAGCACCTCTTTGTATATAATTTTAACTTTATCAGACTTATCAGGAGATTGTTGAATGTTAATACAAACCAAAGCATTTTTCAAGATCATATAAAATACTGAAGTTGTTGATCCAGGTGTTTGTTGATGTATTTTAGCATGTGCCTGGCAGCAATTAGAAACTGTTAGCATCAACATGGTCACCTATCAGATTCTACATGGCAAACATCAAGGTCTCCATCCAACCTGTATGTAGAAAATAACAAAATCGTTGGTTACTGATTGATCTCTATTTTCTCTAAAATTGAGAGATATTCTGCTTAGATTCATGGAACCTTTATCCTTCCTTCCTTCCTTGGGTCATGATATCAAGATGGACATTCTCCTGATGTATATGTTCAGGTTTTTCAACCTTTTTGGATCAGTTGACCCAAACATCTTGCTATGTTCTTTCTGGAACATCAACAACAGATGACCAAATATCAAGTTATGCTTTAGCTTGAGAATTTTAGCTTAAATATTGCAGATTGTGTATGGAATCCAGATTATTTTTGAATAGTTTTAGGTCTCTATGAACCCAAATGGATACCGATAATATCCCAAACATTTTTACAATCTGTATGAATAGTGTTGATCAATAGTAATTTATTGTTCCTTTTTGTATTTCCAGTTGTTGTTGGCAGTATGGATAAACTATTCCACGATGTTAACACAAACGAATCAGAACTCTCACTTAGCGTCGCCAAAATTATACGACAAAAATCTCAAAGATTTAAAAGGACTACAAATGAGAAAGGGAGATATCATGGCTCTGTGATCGCACCCCTGAAATGTAATATACGTAAAGGCGAAGGGAACTTTATCTTCATGGGGAAGCTTCGACTTGGCCGAGCGATACTTCACTGTGCTCCTAGGCTATCACAATGGGAAGAGTTGAAAAAGATCGCAATTAAGAATGAAGATTATATCTGTGATCTTGAAAATTGATGATAAAAAAATAGTCCCAAGAAGTAGTCCAAACCCTGATCTAGATAGATCGGGTTGGATTGTGTGTAAGTGAAAATAATTGACTGAACGATCAAAATCGCTAAAATCAACAATGGAACAAATACATGAACTATTGATACATAGTATGTATACACGAACTAGTAATACATAGTTGCACGAACAGTAATACATATGTATGCACTGGTAAAGTACAACCAAAATAAGATGGACTCGAAAGAGCATCAAATGCTTAGTGACACAATACCTAAATCGCACCAAAATTGGGTAAAATGATCCCAGTAATGTACTTGTATAGTTGAGAGACTCTTATAGAGAGCATCAAGTGATGCAGAGGTACAATTAGTGAAAAGGTTTATGTCCTGGTTGGAAATTCCAGGACAATTGAGTTCCAGAAGGGCTCAGAGCATAGAACAAACATTATAATTATGAAATGTGAGGTCGAAGAAAAAATGTCTCAAATGAACAAAGTACAACTGAGCAAATGTTACCATAACTTTAGTTTTGATACAACGGTTGTTTGTTATTGAGGTACGAACATAATAGTCCCAAAGTTGATAGTGTCTCGTCATCATTTTAGACTTGTATCAAGTTTACGCTCCCTCCCCCTATTGGATATTTCCTCAACTTGAAATGAGAGAAAATTGGGAGGGAGAGTTGATCAATCAAGGTTTTCCATTTGATGCTGGTTGAACAGCATTGATCAGCTGATTTATTTAGTTCTTTGGTCATTGCCTTGTTGCCTCAACCCAATAGAACAACCAAATAGAAGTGTGGGGGTGTTACATAATTATCTTATGCAAGTACAAATGCAAGATATGTGATTTAATTTTGTGTTTTTCAATCAAGAACTGCTGTAGTTGAGTTTGTAAATAATTTCTAATAAAATCAGATCTCTTTATGTTTAACAGTTTGGCTTTGTGGTAATCACGTCTTGTTTTGTCTACAGGGTGTTCAGGGACCTGTTACCTCAGTAGAATTCAACCACTGTTCCATGGGACACCCTGTATATTGTTGTTTGAACAAACATGTTTTTATGCATCTCGATCAGGATGTTTTCAAGTAAAATATGAACACATTTGTGATATACATGTACAGTGAAACATGTACAATCAAAAATCACTATACTTTATATGATAATGAACAAAGATATTGACTGTGAAACTGATCCCATTGCTATGTTTACATGTATATGTATTTTGTATATTCAACATGAACAAATCAGCTATGATCAAAGAATATTGACTTTATGTATTACATAATTGTATTTTGTATTTTTCGACTACAACTATGTTGTAATGGTTCTCCATTAACAGCTGTTTGGCTAAAGGCCTGAACACAAAAATTATTAAAATAAAAAGAATCTTATGGTTGTATATTGTTTGGGGATGGTGTTTAAATATCAGCAGTTTTGGATAAGTTAATTTTGCCAGGTCCTATCCCCCATTCTTCCCCCATTTGACAAAATTTGCAAAAATGTTGATTTGCATTTACTTGAATTTCAACACACTGTCAATATTTTTGAAAGAATTTATTTCATTTACCCCCTCCCAATACCAAAGTGAACTTTCTACTTCCAAAACTGTTTACAGCTGAACACCATCCCTTAGCTGTTGAGTAAATGAATGTTTCATACACTGTGTATGTATGACTAGCTGCAGTATACCCTGGGGGATATATTTCACATTTTACATCTTTGTTATAAAAACTCCATGTCTTGGCAGTACTACATAAGTGATCTTGAGTCATGATTCTTTGGCAAGATTTAACATATGAAATATTTTCACACGAGGGGTGTTCAAAAACTGAGATTCATTCTATTATATTGTATATTTTGTTGTGATGATACCAAGACTGGTTTTTGTTATTTTCTTGTTTCATATTTGAATGTTATGAAATCCATTATAATGTCAATTTTTATTACGTTTTTGTCTTTGAATTTTGCTATTACTTTGCATAAATGATCTATTGCCTAAGACTGAGATTTCTTGAATGATATGTACCAGTAATTGTTTGAAATCAAATTGGTTGGCTTTCAGTCTGCATTTCAAAGTATGAATTGCTGACATTTTTATCACTAATTTTTATCATTGAATGTTTTTTAACATTTTTTAACATTTTGAACTGGTTTTGGTTGCAAATATACGTATAAGGACATGTATATATTTCTATATCGTGTATATTCAATCAAGTTGGACATTTTCTATTTTTGTAATGTTTTTATTGGGACCAAAATCAAGCTTTTATTTTGTGTTTTAAAATGATAATTTTCTCTGATATTATTCGTAATTGTGATGTCAGATGACAAAGAGGCATGAATAAGTACATATTCATTTTCAGTTGTATATATAAAGTTTTATGACAAACGTGCAATTTGTATATAATCTGTAAAAAAGCAGTGTAAATAACTGAAAACTTTGTATATAGAGTATGTACATAATTGAAGAGAGAGATTTACTTATGCAGGATTGTATTGGTTGATATAACACCTGGTGAACAGTTAATTGTCATCTTTATAAGCCTTAACTATAAGCAGAGCATTTAGCAGTTAGTCTTGTGTCCAACCCTCATCACCCGACCCCTTTAAACGCCTCTTCCATAGAGCTGAAGTAGATGGAAGGGGTGAGGACTAAGGACTTGGTACAAGTCTAATAAGCATTTTGTTAAGCTATTTGTTAAATCAGAGCTGTTCAGAACTTTATACTTTGACCAAGAATTTTCTGGCCAACTGGTTCGATAGTCTTAAGATCCACATGTCACAGTACAGTAGAATATAAGTTGAATTTTCAGGTGTTATATTGTTCATTACACCTCTGTATTTACAAACAAGAGTTTAATCAAGACATCAATTGTAACAGTATACAGAAATACAAATCTATAAGAAACATACATCATTGTTGTTGGTTTTAAAAAAAGTCCATATTAATGATTTACAACTGAAAATTCAGAGGCTCCTTCCAGTTCAGAATGGAAAACATCACCCACAACCAAAAATACAACATGAACACTGAAGAAAGCCCTCCAGAATGTTTTTTATTTGTTAAAGTTCATAATTGGCGATCTTCAATCAACTGAAAATAATTTGTGAAAAATTTCCTTTCAGTATCTCATTGATTGAAAATGATTGTGGGGACTTACATACCTCTTAGTCTATAACTATAAATCAGTCTTGTGTCCAAGTGACCTGACTACAGTTATAGCTACAGGGGCAGGGATCAAAATACAAATTATCTGTCTGAACTATTGGCAGAGTGGGCTGCCCTTTACCCTTTAGTACACACTGGTCAACCACAGACTTGAAGTATCATATGAATGCACTCCTCATTTATCACCCATTATCAATTTTATTGACGTTCAATTTAGATTTTGTGTTCAATACAACAGTTGTGTGGTTTAACATAACATTTTTCATATGAGGAATGCATCTTTTCAAATCTGAGTTGATTCTGGTTTTACTGTATCAAAGAGAAAAAAATATTTTGTTTAATTCTGTTTAAATATAGAAAAGGTGGGATTCATGAATTATACATTTTCTATATTTGCTAAGTGGTTGGAACAATGTACCCCGCAACAGAAACTGATAAAGTTCTATGGATGTAAGATGAAATATTTTACAGTTATAGTTGCCTTGAAAATGTCTGGGATAAATACACTCTTTTTTAACAAAATCCTTATCTATGGTCAATGCATGTATCTATATAAACCATACTTTTAAACGACAAGAACCAACTAATTTGCTACTGATATTGACCACCACTCTCTAGTCTTTGGACATAAATATGGTGTACAATCCACATCCCTACTGATCTGGGCATATTCAGTTTCAGCAGATGTCCTCCAGTTATTTTAACCCTATGAGGAGATATGACAAACCCTTCAAAATACAGCACTGACCTAGTATGGTGTTACTTGATTTAAATTTATGAATTTAATAATTAACTCACATTATCTGTATCAAATATAAAAATATAAAATTAGTAGTGTTTTAATCAGCCAAGGATTAAAAATGAATGATGCAAAAGACAAATAAGGAGTTTTTTGAGTGTCAATGGTGGATTTAGGAGGGTCCCCACTACATGAGAAAACCATTCATCTCAAACTTTGATTTGAATCCCTCTAATGGTCACCATCACGATAAACCATTTCCCCTTAGCCATGATATGTTACAGGAAGATATTATGAGTATCAAACTGATGGACACTACTTGGCCTCTTATTTAATCAATGTGTAATCCCCATCTCAAAATCCTGGATCTTTCCCTGAATATGACCAGTGCTGATAAGATCTGGAAGGGTTTGCATGTTCATTGGAACCAGATGACCAACTAAACAACATTACCTGGGAAACTGCAAAGTATGCAAAACAAATTCATGAAAAATATGACACTCCAGACATCAACAATCACCATAGCTTAATTCTGTTTGTACACTACAATGAACAAGAAAATGTTCACATGATTCGATTCGATTGAAAAAATGAAAATTACCCAAAATATGCATTGCAAATAAGGCGTGGGCTAGGGGCCCTAAAATGGGCCTTTTCAAAAATAAGCCTCAAATTGAGAAAAGAGTGATATGGAGAAATGGGCAACAAACTAAAAAAAAACATTTATTTGCTAGCATCACATAATCTTTATGTTGATTTGAACAATAACCTCATACAAACATAATATTTTATCTAAATTAGGTATCTTATCCATTCAAGGCTGCCACATTTAATAATTAATGTGTCAGACATTTAAGTGACAGACATAACAGATTAGGATTATTGGGAGAGATTAAGATCACCATCATAATTAGTAATAATCCACCACCATGGGAGTCATACTGCATCATGGGACTATGTATGTATGTAAGTACCTTGCCTGGCATCATGGGAGATAAGTACCTTGCTTGTTTTCCTTCTGTTTGTCACCTTGATAAAATCTAAGAATTAGACAGGGATGGAAAAATAATCTTGGAAATTAGAAGCCAGCTACTCCAGGGGGATTAATTAGGATATCTAAATGAAAAGTGAGCTCCCTTTTCAGAAATACCAACGTAAATTCATTGTTCAAATCTAACTGACCAAGATGTTCATGTTTATTTATTGTGGTATAAATATAACTATGGCATTAAAGCTTTTAAGAACCGATAAAAATTGCATATGAAAATGTAAAACTTCATAAAGCTCAACAAAAAGTTTGTAACTGTCAGCTATTTTGGTTTTTCTATAAGACATTAATTTTTTTAAATCCTGTTCCCTCATTGACTTTGTTAATCCATGTATAACAGACCAACTGTGTAAATATTGAAATAATTTTAAATGTGTTGTGTTCCTGTCAGCTTTTGAGATGGTTTGAAACATTATAGAAATAAAAGAACTTTGAATTTTATTTTAAAATGACCTAGAATCAGATATCATTTCAACATGTTGACTTTGATCTACCTCTACCTTAAAATAACACCCTTTCAAATAAAGAGTTCAAATTTATTTGCACTCTGTAACTAGAAAATGATTTTTGGAACCAGTCTTTATCAAATCAGAATAGAATAATTATGACACAAAGGCCTTGCAACCTCAATCTGCAAGTAAAGCACCATACTTACAATCATTATGATCATTGATCAAGCTGACATTTTTTAGCAATGTAGATTATTTCTAAGTGAAAGATTGTGAGCTGTGGATACCACAATTATCTGCAATTGTCAGAGTGTGGTGTAGATAGCTACTTTGGAATCAGGGTATAAGTCAGAAAGTAGTGTGCCATGCTAAGAGGGGTGTTTCCATGGTAATCCAGGCACCTCCAGGTGTTGTAACTTGTTTATGAATGAATAATAATATTCGTAATTGGAGCTTTTATATATAACCTCTAATTTAAAATATGAAAAACATTTGCAATAAAAAT